GGATGGAAAAGTGTTTTACTATTAGTTCTTCAAGAAGAGAAAAAAAGAGGAAAGCTAATCTGAATTGTTTGAATAAAAAATTTTGGGATTCACGTATAGTTTCTTGTAACCGCTCATATGAATGATGATATAATGATATAATTCGTTGCATGGGAAGCGGTCGAAGAAGTACTCCGATCCGTACCATTTTCAACAGTGTTTCTCCTTGGACCAAAACACGAGTATACCAAATTTCATCGCAATATCTTAAAAAATGCGGCCTGTAGGTGCAGCCCAAGAGAATAACAGGGCCACTGGCGACGATGCTGCACCTAGCGACTGAATTTCAGTTCAACTACACTTGGGTGCAGCGCTGTCGCTAAGTGCATCGATTGTTTATTTATACTAATTGAACCATTGGATTTAAAAAGAAACATTAATGAACGAAATTTTTTCAATCCATCCATCTCTAAACAAAAAAAAAAAAAAAAAAAGAAATTTTTTCATATTTATTTAAAAAGAAAGTAGTCAATAAAAAAGTTCAAATTAAATACGTTTTAAATTCATATGAAGTAAAGAAAATAAATTATAACGGTACTGTTCGTGGAAAAGTCATTTCAAAGAAAGTTTTCATTTACCGAAGGTTTTTGTAATATTCATCGACGACGAGTAATCCTGAAAATCGAAAATATTTTAATGTAGATACGTAATAGAAATTTTACATTTATTGAATCACTACAATTTTTAAAGCGTTTACTCCATTCACGGCCATTAAAGTCACTATCTTCATCACTGGAACCAGATATGTAAATGAATTTTCTCGACCGTTTATAAGTTTCAGGCTTTGATTGCTTGCAAGAAGTTTGCGTTGAATTGCGATTTAATTCCTGAGTAGAAATTTCATTGTTAATTATATTTTTGCTTGGAGATGGGCACCGTCCATTAACATTTCCCTCAGTAATCTAGGAACGTTAAGAAATAAACAGTTAAGGAATTATTAATGACTTTCTGCAGTTTAAAGATTAAATGTTAAAAACGCAGTGGCGCTATTCAAGTCTTATCATATTATGGATCATGCTTTTGATTTGGTTATGGAAGATAGTCAAGAACTTCGCTTTGCTAATTCTCGCTATGTCAACCGGATAAGTAGTCAGTGCCTATACTAGAATAAATTAGGCACGATAAAATTATCTAATTCAATGAACCACTGCAATGACTATTTTTTAATAAAAAGTGCAACGTTTTAGAAGGAGCAATTGTTTGCCACTGTGATTAGCAAACTTCACAGTGAGCCAAGGTTCAAAATAATCAATCAAAATTTAATAACAATAAGAAAAAGATTTAAGGAGTATTGTAGATTTTGGAAATTTCAAATAACTCGAGGAAAAATTAAATTTTAAACACAAAGCCAAGAGAAGCAATTCAACGTTTATGATGAAGCCTTCTCACATATATAATTTGGTCAGCTGTACAAGTTACACTACATTACACACATACGTTGTCTAATGCAAAAAAAAAAAAACGAGATCAAAAAAAGGAAGAAAAATAAATATGAAAGCCGTAGATGCTTAAGCATAGAGATCAGTCAAATTTACATTTAGAAAAAAAAAACTGATTTCCTGAAGAAGGGTCGCAGGTGACGTTTTACAAGATTTGTAGCTGATCGTTCAGTATGAACTAGGATTTGCAAAAGACAATATTGAAAGGGAGTTCTTTTTTAATACTACCTCATTAGAGTTTTCGTTGCTATACATTGAATTAACCGAGCGGAATTGCTTAAGCAATGTTTCAATCTCCGTACTTAGCTCTGTAATGATTCGCTGGAAATAGAGAGGCACTCTTCAATTTTTAATTTAAACCAAATAATAAGTTTGAAATTCACATTTTTTTCTTTTTCCGATTCTTCTTCGCTTTTAATGCACTCATCTAATGATTTTTCTTTGTTTTGCAATTCTTCCTTCAACTTTTTTAGATCGTTCTGCATTGAATAAACAAAATATTTTAACTTAAAGTTAAGAAGAAAGAGATTGAAAAGTTACTTCAAAATTCGTATTCCGGGCTTCTAGTTCTAAATTTATTCCCGTTTTCAAGTCTTCACATTCCTTTTTATGGTTAGCAAGCTGCAATTGTAAGTTGCTTAAATTTAACATGGCTTCATGATAAGGTTTGGTCAAATTTTTATTATCTTGAACTTTTCCATCGTATTGCCGCTGCAAATTTTCTTCGCGCTCAGTTAGCTGAAAGATTAAATTTGCGAAAATATTTTTATTACATTAAACGTTTTTTCCTTTTTATATCTACTTCGTTGATTTGACCGCTTTGTTCGATTTTCTGTTGTTCGAAATCTTGAAGTAATTTCTTCCTTTCATTTTTCAATAAATTATTTTTTTCATCGTATCTCATTTCCACTTCGTAATATTGTTTACGCAATTTCAGTTCATCAAGAATACTGTTCGTGTGAATTTTGTTTAAACGATTCTTCTCTTCGACGACTGTTTTCAATTTTTCATCGCTTTTTTTTAAACTGTAAAAAATATAACGAATCAGGAAATTATCGAAAGAGTACCTTTTGTAAATATCATCGTACCTATTATATAATTCTTCGATTTGTGCCTTTTCTTCCACAGAGTTTGCCTTCATTCGTTCCACTTCGTTGAGCTTATTTTGCAAAATCGTCTGCAGTCGAAAAATGCGGGCTTTGTATTGTTTCATATAGTTATTCATGGCGGCGATCGTTACCAAAGAAGTTTTATTTATTGTCTTATTGTCTATTAAAAGCCCTCTAATGTGCTGTTTATTAGTTCCTATTCTAAAGGAGCAGACAAAAAAGTTATTACACGTCTTGGGATTAAGATTATTTTACTACTTTTCTTATTTTGTTTTTTTTTTGTGATTCTTGATTTAATTCGCGCTGCTCGCCATTTTTAAGACTATTGAAATTTCATAAATTCCAAAATCTAATAAATTAACTTAATTTCCTTTGCAATCATTCCATCGTCAACAAAAAAAAAATTGGGTTAGTATAATAAAACACTACGTTTCACTTACGCAAGGAATCAAAATAATTTGTTTTTGAAGTAGACGAAATGATACTTTTGGCTTAAAAATTAATTTTAGTAAAATTTACTTTTTAAAATCTCCAGTCAAACGGTGAATTTTTCTCTCTGTTCTTCTTTTATTTTCTCATTGGTACATGATTGCCATATAAGCGATCACGAAAGTAGGGAAATACCGTTCGGGAATCCCAACAAAGGCATATAGACATTGCTGTGAAATTCAAAATGATTGGCCTAGTAATTGGAAAGTCAAAAAACCACCAAATATATATAAATTAGAATTATTCTTTATCATCTCGTTTATGTATATATGTCTATATTTAGTTTTTTAAATCTATTATAAATAACTTTGTGTTATATTATATATAAAGAATTTTTTCGGCAAAAGTCTTCAATATTTTCTGTATAGCCAATCACGTAAAACTTCCATGTGTAAAATTACACAAAACATATACTACATTTTTGTATGCTAATGTACTATATGTTAGATTCTTCCTGCAAAATTATTTCTGTTAATTAAAAAAAATTTCTGCCAAAAGCCACAAAAGCCATTCCCTTTTCTCGGGATGATAAATTCCAAAAGGTAAACACAATGAGAAGTCGCGTTACCATATTGTTTGATAAGAAACAATAAGGAAATTAACGAAAATGCAAACAAGAACGTATGCTTTGAGGAGTAAAACTAAAAATATCCACATAAATAAAAACAACAAATGTATAAACAATAGCATATTAAATTTTTGATTGATTAATGAAATAAATTATGAAGAAAAATATCTTTAAAATAAAGAGCATGGGGATTAACTATTCTGGCGAGGTAAAGTAAAGGAAAAAAATTACCTAAATGCTTGGATTTGACAAATTTATTTAAAATTGGAAATATATTGCCTTTATTGCTTTTTTTTTCTTCCTTTTAAAATAATGTAGTGTGGAAACTAAAATTTTAAATGGTGTAGCACAAAAATTTTAAATGAACATAAGACTTTCTTAAATGTCTTCATTTCCTCTTAGGCACTTTTTCTTTTTGCTCTATTTGTCATAGTATTTTGCAATTCCCACAAAATCAAGTAAAAAGTCGACAGAGTTGGAGTCTTATCCCGAAAATAAGCATCACTGTGCTAAGGGCCTATGGGGGCGTGTATTTCCATGGCTGGTCGAGACGTTTACATTATAAATTTTTGATAAAAAGGAAGACAAATTAAGTTTATAGATACTTATATATGTTTTCATATTGTCATATTATATTTTATAATTTTATGAAACTTAGAATTGAATGCGAGGTGAGAATATAAGCAAAGCTTTATTGTTTAAGGTTTCTACGGTTTGCCAATTTCCCCGTAGAATTGTGCAAATTTAAGCTATTTTCCGCAATGCGCGGCTGCCCTTAGAATGATTACCATATGACCAGATTTCATTCCCAGACCTAAAATCAAATCGATGCTTTATTGTGTTGAAGTGTTGGCCGTGTTGTATAAAAAGGTAGTTAAGCCTTTATTGGTGAATAACCTGATTACCCTACCAAGAAATAAGAAGAACAAGCAACCTACACCAAGAATGAACAAGAACAAATATCCTACACCAAGAAATAAGAAGAACAAGCATCGTACATCAAAAAATGAACAAGAACAAGCTGTAGACAAGAGGTTATTATATTTTGCTTTTGGAAGCGAAAAACTAGAATGATTGAAAACTTTGCTTAAAAAGCTTTTCATTTTATAAAAATTTATGAGCTAAGAAAACTTTTGTAATAAGATAATTACTAGTAAAATTTAAACAATTAACAAATGCATGAATAGACATGACGACAAAAAATAAAACGCAAGATCTCTATTGAATGTACGATCGACGAACGCAGTAAGACAATTGATAAGTCCGTTCAGATATCTCCTCCCAAAGAGTGTAAATCGTAAAGCACCTGAAACGAAGAAGAAAAAAAAGCATTCGTGAGGAGTTCTACAACATGCTTGGAAAAATTGTACCTCCATATACTGCGGCCATTAAATTTATATCATTCCGTTGTCATAGCACCTTCTGTTGATGTTTGTTATGAATTATAAAATTTGTTTAGGTCATTTGTTTGTTTTTTTTTTCTCTTTTAAATAAAGCTTACTCACTACATTCAGAAAATAAAGATGTTTCGTCGTGGTAAATTGGCTTTCCTTAATACTAAGGATGATAGGGTTAAAGTCATTAATGAACGCATAAACTTAACCGAAAGACATTTGATTGAAATGTGTAACAGTTTTACAACAAGTACAAGAAAATTGGCCAAGTACGGAAGACTAAATATCGTAGCTCTTTCATATATAATTTTTCTATATTAGATACCGTGATTCCTATGATGAATTATCAAAAACTTTACGCAATTACGCAGACGAGGAAGAGATTAATGAGAGCTTAAATGAAGGTCTAAAAAATTTGACTAATGCTGTAACAATTTTGGGAGATTACATGGATTTGCAAGTACATCGTCTCGAGTTAAAGGTTTGCTATGAAAGTATTGCCGAAAATGTTGACTTAACGCTAATAAATTTAGATAGTAAACGAATTCGCACAATTTGAAAATTTGTGTAAAATGACTCGTGATAATTTACGCACGGCCGTCTTGGCTCGGGACAAAGAGGTTCTTAAGCAACGGCAAATGCTTGAAATTAAAACGAAATTCTCGGCAAATAACGTAAGTGGACGTGTGTGTACAATTAAAGTAGAAATTATTTTTGTAATTTTTTCATTAGGCAGCAGCGGATTCCGAGTTAATTAAAGTTAAAGTGGAAGTAAATCGCACCAATCGAGAGATTGATGAAATCATTAATAATTTCGAAAAACATAAGCTTAATGATTTAAAAGAAATATTTACTAATTTCATATTAATATCAATGAAATATCATACAAAGTCACTGGAAGCTTTAACGGCCAGTTATTATGATGTGACAAATATCGATGAGAGCGATGATTTACGAGAATTCCAAAAACTAATGAAATCGAAATATGGCACTCAAGAATCACTTAAAAAAACGAAAAAATCGGCAATGGACAGTTTACGATCGCAATCTATGGAGAGTTTAGACAGAGACCAACTGTTAAGTCCACTGAAGAGAACCAATAAAAAACTATCGAAAAGCACAAAAAATTTAAATGAAATTAATAGAGATGATGATGATGCTAAGGGCGATAAGAAAACTTTGGAGAATGATAGTGAAAGCGACGATGACGAGGAAGACGATGATGAAGAAGGCGAAGGAGAGGTAATTATTAAAAAAAATAAAAAAAAATAACACGAAGCAGAAGAGGGACCATTTTTGCTGCTTTTCATTCGATAACTTTTTTCTTTCAAAGACCACCTCAACTCAATTGTTGTTGTTGCCATTTTCAATTTAGCCTTCATTACTGCAAGTATACTAGAATTGACTGAAACGTTTGCTAAATGTAAACCTTTTATCCGAAATTCGATCGTCTAAATGTACGTGAGTTACCATTCCAACGAGCTTTAAATGCTCAACACAATGCTCCAATCAAGATCTTGGAATATACATTATTGAGAATTTATTGCAAAATTTGATTTTCCCACGCGGAAGCATAATGGCATGTGTAGGATTTTTTTTCCAATAAAAAGCATCATTTGTTGCTTTGCGTTTATAAAACAAAAGTAGATGGCTTCTTCCATGCTTAAATACTTTATAATTTCATTTTTATTATTATTATTAAACAGGACAACAGTGACAATACCAAAAGTGAGGAGGAGTCGCGCAGCGATCATGACACCAACGAAAGTTCCTCGAAGGATGAAGAAAATGCATTTAGCGTAAAGAAAAACAAACTGCAAATTGCACATCCTTTTAAAGCGACACATGTAAGAATGCAAAAGTAATTGCATGTGCAGGATTAAGAAAAAAACGAAAAACCCCTTAAAAATTCCCTTACAATTATAAGAACACTTGATTGCATTTAATAACCAATAGTTATAATGCGAGCTTTCAACAAGTTATGCACTACATTTTTTTCTAATGAACACGATATCTAAAGAAAATTTTATATGAATGACTAAATAACTAAAGTACAATTTTCTGATCTTGGAAGCACTTTGCCATAAGCCATACACTCAACAAGACCTGCCCGTCAATTTAAATATCTTTTTTGCTATAATTTGCTTTGCTTGCGGTTTTTATATACAAATCATTGCTCTTTCAATCTACTTAAAATCTCTGCTTAGGTACTCAAGACTAAAGACAGAATTCCGGCAAATCAATTGCGACGTGAGAAAACTTTTATTACTAAACGTTTAACTGTAACCGGTTCTGGCATTCAACATTCGTCGGATCACCAAAAGCGTATTATTGACGACCGTATTAAAAGTACGAAAAAAGCCTTGGCTGGTGAAACTTTTCATAGGACCGATGGTCGCTTGGTTACCATTGTTGAATCGAAACGAAAAACTACAACAAACGAAGATATGCCACAGACAGAAGTAGAGATCATTGATTGCACACGTAGTAGTCCCAGAAATTAACTACTAACTACTACGGTCATGTAAATAACGCTTATATGATGATTATATATATATATTTTTTTTTTTTTTCTGTATAGTTTATATTTCTTACATATTTCTTAGTGTATATAAAAAAATTAATGCAAAATTTTTTATATATTTTGTTTTTATCAAAAAGAATTTAACAAAAATCTAAAAAATTTTTCTTATTTATTAAAGTTGAACCCTTAACTAAGAAAATGAAGTAATGAGTTCGATTTATATTTCGATCAACTTTAGAGAATAAATGTGAAAAATAAACATTAAATAAAAGGTAAACATTAATGCTTAATGCACTACAATTTTTGTGTTATATGGATTTATATGATGAAGAATAGGAATATGGATGATTATATATGCGTGAAAAAGTGTGAAGTGATGGGGTCTTATAAATCGGTTTTTTTTTTATTTTCATTTTATTGAGCAGCCTCTATGGCTTCATATTTTTTTTTATTTTCTCACTTTTCGGGGCCTTCGACTCCAGCTTGATTCATTAGATCGGCAATGCTCTTCTCTAAGTCATCTATTCGATTCCCCATATCGTCGATTCGTGTAATGATCTGATCAGACATGGTTTGAAATTTATCCTGGACATTTTGTAAAAGGTTTTGCACCTGCAAGTAGAATTCATACAATAGCAATTGTTATTTTTTATTTCCGGTAAGGTGTTCGGAGTCAATTTTTTGCTTTGTGCCATTATACCGTAATCTAATAAGTTTGCATAGCTTCGGCTTACGCCTAATCATTTCGTATCATATTTCGTTTATCATTTAATTATCATTATAACCGCTTATCAATGTCTGCTTTAAGCTCGATTTTGTGCTTACATCCCTAAAGCGCAACGCAAGACAGTCATCATTATGTCTTCATGATAAATTCGTGTTTAATCTGAGACCGCCCAGTCATTCCGTACATTTATCAGGTTACAAACATTTCAAACATTCATACATAATTTCAATTTATACTCACATAGATTGTTAATTCCTGCATATTTTTTGGATCCGCATTACTGTTGAGCGAATAATTTTGATCTAAATCACTGTCCATTTCATTTTTTATATCTGTCATTTTTGAAGTTTTGTTTCTTTTTTTACAAAAATATAGAAAATTATTTTAATTTGCACAGTTTCTTTATTATTTTGCCTTTTTTGATATGCACAAAAATAGTTCTCACGTCTATTCAGAAGAGAATGAAATAAATTCTGACAGTTGATTGTTTCTTTTGTTTTTTTATAGTAACTCAAGAGAAACACAACAAGAGCGAGAAAAATAAATTGAACACAGAGATGTATTTTTGTTATAAGTGAAGTTTATTTTAATAGCTGGTGTTACCAAGATATAAAACTGTTTCCAGGTAACAAAAAACACATAAAAATCTTAAACATAATATACAAAATGAAGGTAAGCTCACGACTGCTCCTATATTATAAAGCTGTTTGTATGCTAATATTTTGTTTAAAAAGAAAAAGGTGTTTGCTTTTACCAGCAGTGTCCACATGAAATATGAAATGGCGTCTACAGCTGCCCAATTGGATTGAATCAATTTCTGTTGATTTGCTAAACCGCAGAAGAAGAAGAAGAAGACATTTTAAATATTATAAAAAACTGTCATAAAATTATTAAATGAGAAATGGAGTTTTTATACTGTCGTTGGGGAAAACACAATGAGCTTTAGCATACAACTGAGCTACGAAAAATTTAATTATTGAACTTTATTAACATTCAATAAAAACCTTCGTGTTCATATTGAATCTAATTTACACAGCACAGAGATAATCACGTATTAAAAATTCTGCATTCGCTTTTGTATTCAATTATTTGGCAAAAATAGCTGAATACTATTGGAAACATAAGTGATTACCCCCTGGGATTGTAGAAGAAGAGCAAACGGAAGAAACTCAGAAATAGGAATTATAATGGGTTTCAATCATATAGATTGAAAACAACAAATAAAACAACAGCCTTAGTTCTTCAAAGAAAAAAAAAGAACAAACACGTCTCTGTTTTCGTTGCTTAGCAACTTTGAAAAAAGTTGTTGATATTGTCTGCTGCTTAAAAACAGATTGAAAGTTTTGTAAATTTTGCAAATATTGATAAATGAAAAATGGAATAAATGAAGTATTGCCCGATCGAAAAGAGAAGCGCAATATGTAACGTAAAAAATTGTCCTTGCCTTGACAGTACCGACAAAGGAAACCACAAATATTCGTCATCAAATGTGAAGGTAGTCATGAGACCAAGCCTAAATGCAAGTGGAAGAGCATACTACTTAATAAAACGTAGACCGATAGGACCGATTGGTTTGTCATCTAAGATTGCGGTAATAATAAGGGAAAGAATTTTCTTTTCCGATTTCAATGAAAAAATTTACATTAATTGAAATCATTGTCGCTGCTTCCGATAATTTCACATTCATAATACTGCAAAGATTACTATGAAACTATTTGCTATTGAATCCATTTTCAATAGTCGCAATAAATACTATAAGTAAAATCCAATAATCCAATATAGCTTTAAAGTGTTTAAAGCCACTTAGATTCAAATGAATTCAAAATCTACAATGCTTGTAAAAATTCTTGAATTGGAATTGAACATTTCTCCCAGAGGATGGCAGTTTTCAAAAATAAAAAAGAAAAGAAAGGAAACGTGTTCGATTGTGGACATGAATGATTGTGAACACGAACGAAACGGCTTCCAAAAAAGCTAAAAAATGAACGCTTCCTAAGGATTTCGTTTCATAATTAACAATTGACCATTTTGATATAGACTTTTCGCAGCAACTCCGAAGTTTTTAAATATGCTAATTTCTTTCGTACTACGATTTTTTCATAATAAATCCTTATCGTGAAAGTAATCCAATCCAATTCATTTTCGATAATCTTCGCCCTTGAGCTAAAACATGCAGGCGGTCCAAATTTCGGCAAAACATTCATAGATTCGAAAAATTCGTTATGAATCGACGGCTTAACAAAAGTGCTTCTGGGTATTACGCACATCTGCACAGACTTACAGCACTTTGTACCATAAGTAGTATAGGGTGTAGAATTCTATAAGAATGAACAGAATCGTAATCGTGAAGAAGAGCTTGGATTGGAGGTTTCTTTTGTTGTAAGCTTCTAAAGCAGTAATATTCAGATACGTTGCGCGTATATTTTTAACGCATGTCGCTGAGTATTAGTTTTTGAGACTGAACAGCAAAGGGTTTACCACAAGGGGCTTAATGATCGAAAAGGAAATTTAAAGAAGTGCGCTCTTAAGTAAAAAGTTTTGTGTTTGCAACTTTTTGCATTTCAGCTAAGGCAAGAAATTCAAATAACAGATTTTCTATATCGCCGAGGAAGACAGTAATGAAGTCCCATTTTATATGAATCGCCGAGGCTACGAAAGGCAACTTCCTGGTCAAAAAACGTTAGGGAGTTCTAAATTAGCATAGAAGCATGGGGTTATTACGAAAGTGTAAGTCAGCTTCAGCGAATGCTAAATCGCTGCTTGATTACCATCACGTTTAACGTCTGCCAATATTATTCCAGCGCTTATGACAAGAAGTCTGCATATATTTTCTCCGTTGAAGTTCAAGTAAGAAGTAGGATAATGGGATGGTACGATTACAAGTGGGCAAAAGTTGAAAGTTGCAGCTAAGAGATTAGCAATCCTGATCGACCTACTAACACGTCCACATTTAACAAAGCATTTTAGAATTCTATTCAACGAGAAATAGAAAGAGAAGAGATATCAAAACTTCACATTTGTTATGCGTTAATAATAACTTTTAATATAAATTAAAGAAAAACATTATAAATTATTTAAATTTTAAACGATGTAATAGCGTATATTAAGCAACATAAGTTCACGCATGGTTTTCAAAAAAACATAAATCATGACAATGACAAGAGAGAGATAAACACCAAGGAACAAAAACAAAAATGGAAAAATGGGAAAATATTGCACTTGACACTCATTAAAACTTAATAAAGTTTATGCGCTAAAAATTTAGTGCAGCAGTGCCATCATTATCTCCATCCTTATGACATCCAACAATTTAACTTTTACATAATGAGCCTAAAGGCATCCATGATGGGAATACATGGTGTGTTTAGATTTTTCTATCATTTTTTTTTTTTTTTTTTTTTTGTAGAAACCGGATTATTAGATGATAGCAGAACAAAATATAACGAAATTATAGCATGCAGTGGAGCACATACTTGGCATAGTAAAGCATGGCTACAGTAGAGTATCGTTTTATGCGTTTCATTTCATGTAATTTCGAAATATATGTTGATTGACTATACGCTAAAGAATACCATAATTCTTTAAGATCCCGGTAGAAGTTAGCTGCAAATTAACAGTAATTGCAATACAGTTATATAACAAAGTTGTCATATAATGTTGTTTTCGCCAGAGAAGAAAATACTTACGCAAGCCCTGAAGCATTTAAAAAGTGCGTGCCATGTAGTGGCAGGTTTTCTTGTTAGATGATCGATCCTCGTATCATAAAACTAAAATGTCCAATTTCTTGATGCGCTGTAAGAGTATTAAGAAGAATGACGTCACAATGAGAAAAAATTTCATTTATGCCTAGTTACCAGGATGTTTTTTTTTTTTTTTTTGATGTGACCAATCACTCAGGGGTTTGTCCCCTGCTCGTGTAACACGGTGATGATCCGCGAAAAGCAAGCAAAGAGAAAGAAAGAAAGAAGGTAGGCGTGGCTGTAGCTTAGCCTCATCGACAAGTATGCCTGTGCCGACTGAGCACTCATTGCAGCTATCACGAAAGTAAACTTTACCGCACTGAGATTTGAATCCACGCACACGGACTTGGCAGGCCCACCCACTCGGCTACTTATACGGATAATTTTCTTCGGTTCAGATCTTGTTTTTTGACTCGTAGTTTTCCGCGATGCCACTGCTATCAAACGTAGCGAAGTTATTGATTTCCTGTAAATGGACGCGTTGTACTTATATTGAATTGACTGAAGAAGCAAATCGAAGAAAAATTTTTGCAACTGATTGAAAAAAGGCGTCACTATGTTCAATATCCGTTGCGTGGAATGGTAAAAGCGAACGGGGGCCAACAAACCAAATGCTGCGGTGCGTAACTTCATGCAAGATTTTTTTAACAATGACATGTTATACTTGCATTGGAAAAATATAAATCAGAGTATTGTGAACTTTTAAAGCAGTTAACGTACTTTCCGTGGAACGCACGAGTTTCTCTTTCGATGTCTGCACGCTTTTGTTTTTTTTTAAATGCCAACAAAACCGTAGCTAACTTCCTAAAAAAAAAAAAAAAAAAAATAAATAAATAAAATTGTAATCATTTGATCAAAAAACGTATCACAATTCAAACGTTTACTCCTTTTCTTTCTATGCCAAAGGAAATTTGTTTACTTTCTTTATACATATTCCTAAGGTAGATGCAGTAGATACATAACACGACACGTCACTGTATTTAATGTAAATACATTTGTTTGTATGGGTGAAAAGATTGTTATGCGTGCATAAGCATGTTTGTGTAGATAATTTGTTGCTTTTGCATCCAAACATTTTTCGGGAAATTAAAGTTTGCTATGCTACTCAACGAATAATGGCAAGGAATGTTTGCTGTTGTAACCTTTAGTTAACTATGTCACTGTGTACCTCCGTGTATACGTGTTTTTGTTTGTGTGTGTGCCGTGTATATTCAAATTTTGTAGTAAAGAAAATATAGAATAGAATAAAAAGAACGAAACGGGGCGGCAAGTGCACTCGAAAAGGCTTAGCTTGTTACATTACGAAAAAGTGGGTAAAATGAACAGCAACGACAACAACAACAACAACAGCAACCACAACAGAAATAACGATAAAATTCTTTCAGCCTAAAGATATATGCATACCTGGTGGTGTAGTGCAACGCTGCATAAACGGTTTTTATATAAAAATTAGATGGCATAACAAGAGTCTGACAGCTATGACATTGCAACGCAACGTAACGCCCATAATGCTTAGCTTTACATTGGCAGACAACAGAGTGTCAGAAGCGTAGCAGTTTTGTTGCAACAACGGCGGCAGTGAAAGCCTGTCAGTCTTCTTCTTCTTTATCTTAGTTTTTTAGTGTTAGTCGGCTTCATATACATACGTAAATATGAATACCTATTTGGCATTCAAAGTTCTCTTAAAAGCGTTTGTAATTTTGCTGACACATCAGCACAAACATAAAATTGTATTCTGCTACTGCTAC